AATGATGGCTATGGTAATGGCAGTGCAAAAGTGGCGTGCATACCTATTGGGATGCCAATTTGTTATAAGGACAGACCAACAAAGTTTGAAGTACATAGCAGAGCAAAGGGTGCACACCCCGAAGCAGCAAAAATGGCTTAGTAAACTGATGGGCTTTGACTACCTCATAAAATATAAGCCTGGGCCCGCAAACAGAGTAGTTGATGCCTTGTCACGAGTGGAAGAGTTAGCCCATCTGACTTGCTCTCAGCCCAGTGTTCCCTTGTTTGAAGCTATACGGCAAGAAGCCAGGTCTGATCTGCAGCTACAGAACATTAGAGATAAGTGGAGTCGTAACCCTTCCCAAGTTGCGGGTTACCAAATTGTGAGGCCTGATCTTTTCTTTAGGGGCCAGTTTGTTGTTGCCCAGAATTCAACCCACAAAGTTGAACTGCTAAGGTTGTTTCATGACTCTGCGTTGGGGGGACACTCAGGGGTGCTACGGACCCCAAAGAGGCTCAACAGCCACTATCATTGGGTAGGAATGCGTAAGGATGTATTGCACTATGTATCCGAATGCCAAACCTGCCAACAGCATAAATACTCCTCACAGTCTCCCGCTGGCCTTCTACAACCCCTCAAGATTCCAAAGCAAGTGTGGGAAGACCTCTCCATGGACTTCATCACGGGTCTTCCACGTTCTGCAGGAAAGGAGGTTATCATGGTAGTGGTTGACCGTCTCACCAAGTACAGCCATTTCTCTGCATAACCTCACCCTTATACCGCAGCAATGGTGGCTGACATCTTCATACAGGACGTCGCCAAGCTGCATGGAACCCCAAGATCCATTGTCTCAAACCGTGACCTTGCCTTCCGGAGTTCATTCTGGAAGGAATATTTTCGGTTGCAAGGAACCTAACTGCACCCCTCCACAAGTTATCACCCGCAGACTAATGGACAGACTGAAGATCGTAATCGATGCTTGGAAGCCTACCTTAGATGCTTCATAGGGAGAAGCCTCGACAGTGGGCTCACTAGCTTCTGTGGGTAGAATACTGGTACAATTTGACTTATCAATCGGCTATTGGAATGACACCCTTCAAAGCTCTATATGGCAGAGAACCCCCTCCCATATTACCTTATGAATATGGGTCATCAAAGGTGGCAGAAGTAGAGACCCGTCTACTTGCGAGAGACGAGATTCTTAGATTGCTTAAGTCCAACTTGACAAAAGCCCAACAGCGAATGAAGGCCYRCTATGACTCTCACCACCGCCCATTAGAATTTCAGGTGGGTGATTTTGTTTACCTTAAGCTCCAACCTTACCGCCAGATCTCAGTAGTAAGACGGGCTTGGCACAAGCTAGCGCCCAGGTATTATGGGCCTTATAAGGTTTTGGAGAGAGTGGGCCTTGTTGCTTACCGGTTGGACCTCCCTTCAACCTCAAAGCTTCATCCGGTGTTTCACATCTCACTTCTTAAGAAGGCGGTGGGAAATCATACTCCTGTCTTATCTAACTTACCCCAATTCACTGAAGAAGGGGACATTGACACAGAGCCTATCAGAATTGTGAATTTCCGTTGGGTTCGACGAGGTGGTCAGGTTGTGCCAAAAGCCAAGGTAGAATGGGTTGGACTTCCTCCAGATGACGCCACTTGGGTACCTTATCTAAGGCTGAACGAGAGGTTTCCGAACCTAGACCTTGAGGCCAAGGTCGATGCTAAGGAGGGAGGAATTGTTGGAACCCAAACACTCCCTCCAAGCCCAACTATGGGAGTGGAGCAGACCACCACCAATCAGCATTTCACTAGAAGATAGAAAGGGTAGTGGACACGCGGCAAAGCCTCCAAAGTTAGTTATACTCAGAACCTTCCAGAGTTAGTTACACTGCCACCAGAAGATATTCTCTCCATGATTGCACACATGTAGGCCAGCTATATAAGGCCCTGATCATGTAATAAACAGTGTGAATGAATATCTCTTTACCTCT